ATATTTATACATAGCCACACGTGCACACAGGTCAGCGAGAGTATCCATAGCAGCCCATTTTGTGTCCTTTCCTCCCTTACGTGCAATCCAGGTGCAACATAGGAAAGAATACTTAACCATTGCTCCCAGTTCTTCTCAATAATTCAAGAAAAGCCCAAAACAGAAGTGTGAAAGGAGTCCCAGACAGCAGCCCTGTCGCAGGAAGAGCACGCAAAGAAAATGTTGAATTTAGACCGAATAAACAATTATCCAAAACTGGGGGTTCTTACTGCAATTCAAAAGCGGTCTTTTACAAAGACCAGTATTTAGGGGAAGTTTCTTTGTGACAATACTGTGAGCCATCTCAACTCCTTGAGCACAGACAGAAACAAGGCATCTTTTTAGAGAGGTTTATCTTATTAATGTCGAAGGAAGATGCTACATCCAACATCAAAATTACAAAGGTTGAATTCTACAAGATTGAAATTTAGAGGTAAAAAAATCTGGAATAAACTTAAATCACAATCTATCTTTGAGAAAAATTTTGGATGCGTTCTAAGAGTTATTTTATCCTTGTGGAAATAAGTGTTATGAAGAATCTCACCACAGGAGGGACCGTCATCTAACCTTGTGGAAACCACTGCTAAAAATGTCCCAATGGATAGTAAAAGCTGCAAAAATCACACAGCTCTTATTAACAGATAGTGAACCTTCCTCCTCAGTGACCAGTTTCCTTATTAACAATCACCTAAAGACAACTTCTACTGAGAAACCAAGGTCCTTGAGAAAAAGGTAAAGGTTAATCAATTCCTCCAGAAACTAGTGCAGAAAAGACTCCTATCAAATTGAACATGAAACAACAGAAGAGTATCTGCAGAGCAGTTAGAGCTAATGGACCTGAAGTCCACGCTACCTGCATCTCACAAGGATTATTCTAGACTAGCAAGAGGTAAAAAAAAAAAAAAAACAAAAAAAAAAAACAAAACCTTAGAACAGAAGGCAGCTCGAAGATAGTCAACTAAGAAATGCAAAGGCTCAGTCTTTTTTCCAGCTCTGGAAGAGACTTCTGATTGTGTTTCTAAAACTGAACCAACATAGGCTTTTGGACACTATGGTATTTCTCAAATGAAGCAGCCAAGCCTGTTGAGGTAAGGCAGCCGACAGGAGATTCCCTCCATCCCAATTCTGTATTCAGGAGAAGTACACAGGCATCACATCAACTAGGGAAATGTGCAAGGAGCATCAGGCAGAGTGAGGGCAAGAGGAACATGGTCACAGTATCCAGTAGACTGCAGCTTATGTGTGGATGGAAGAATAAGGAAGTGGCAAGTCTTGTGATGTCTAGTTTAATTTCTTTTTGGAAACCAGGAAGGGAAGATTTACTGACTGCTGAGAACCGAGGTTTTATGAAGAATCAGCAGCTTTAGTCTACTTTAGCGTAACACTGGTGGCATGTATCAAAGACAATGCACTGGGTACTTCAGGTTTATCCCCTCTCGGCTTTTTCAAATTTCATTTGTTTGAAAATGCAGTTAAACAAACGATCTCATATTGAAAGAAATTTCACTCACACTTCTACGAACATGAAGAAAGGAATAATGTACTTAAGTTATGACAGAACTATGCTGTCAAAAAGCTACATTTCTAGCTTAAGGCAACTTCAGACATACTGCTCCATGCTGCAGAAATAAAACAGCAGACGGAGCCAAAGGGCACAAAGGACACGGTGATAATGGGTAAGCTGAATGTGGAACTGTTGTTCATTGAATCCTACAATATTAGGACTGGAGAGCACTAAGCAGAATTAGAAAGAAGCCAGTTCAGCACAGAAAAAATAACTTTTCTTAAAAGAGCACACAGTGAACTTTTATGTGGCCACAAATGGGAAAAAAAAAGTATAGGTAGGAATCTATCTCCCATCCCTAATCCAATGACTGCAGATGCTGAGGAAATGCAAGCAAAGTGAAGCAAAGGCAGCAGCCTGGCTTCTGTCATCTCTCAAAGCAACATCTTTTCACCACTGTACAGAGACAGAATACTGGGTTAGATGAATTGTTCTGGAGGGCTAAGGGGCAGCAGTGATCATGTTGAATTTACTGTTTTCATATTGTTGTAGTTAAAATCAATGCTTATACCTGTTGCTGAACTGAGTAAAATGTTAGGGGCTGATTGTCAGATCATCAATCTGGTCCCAGCTTCACCAGATGGAGACACAATACTAACAGCTTGGCTTCTGTACAGCAATCCCTAACCCTGCTCCACAAAGCCTCCCAAAAAATAGGCATTGCCTAAGAGTAGGCAGCCTGATCCCTTACCTACAGCAAGGAATCCTCTAACCAAAGACAAAAATCAGGTAGAATCAACTGTCAACACATAGATTTTATTTCTGTATTTACAAAGCTTAAAATAAAATATATCGGTATCTAGCTATTCCAAATAAATGCAAAAATAGAAAACTTTCCTTTTCAACAAAAGTGCGTAAACATAAATTAGAACATGAAAATTTTAAAACATACAATGTTGCTTCTCAGTGTTTTTACTGTGAAAACAGATCTGTAAAACAAGCACCATGATTTATCTACAGAAGACTTTCCATCAAAGCAGCATCACAGGGCAAAACAAGTAGGACATTAGTATGGAAACGTAGTAACAAATCTTTGAATACTTTAAATGGCATAAACTGTTACAAATTATTATAAACAGTTGTAAAACTTCTCTAATTTTTTGCAATAGCTTTACCACATAGCCGAATATTAACTGAGCCGCCTTTGGTTATCAGCACAACAAAGAAACCTTCAAATTGTCCTTCTGCCTTGGGCTTGAACTGGACTGGCACATTGATGTAATGATGGGACCTGTAAAAGGCAATTATGTGCATCATCATTGTGAATAAACAGGTAAATCCTACCAGATAGAGAAATTCTTGTCTAGTTTTGATTTTCACCAAAACAGTATATTGGATGTGCACTGGATCACCAAGTCTGTTTTTACAGATTTTACTATCTATTATTCTGCTGAGAGACTTTGATTGTAAAGGTCTGCCTCTCTTCTTACTGATTATACAAAGTACTGCAATAATTTATTGCTGCTAGTTTACCTAGGTAAGTTTGGTTTGCTTCTTTCCAATAATATTGACAATGCAAAAAACTGTATTTAGAGCAAAGTCTACTTACTACTTACTCAATACACATTTCTTCCCTTGAGAAGTCACACAAGTACACTAAAATTTTTAATTCCTTCCAAAATTCCATTCATCTGAAGCTAGTAAAATAATTTCAGTTACTTCTAATTGCCTCTGCATTAAGAGGCATTTTGCTGAATTATTGCAAATCATATATCCATCCTCAAACAGTGTTTTAAAGATGTTACATTACACCTTTTTAGCTTGTATCATTCCTCTTCTATTCAGATTGCATAAAAACACACCAAAGGTAATGGGTGGCTGTCCAAATTGTCAAAAGCCTGGCGTGAATGTTCAAAAATATAAGCTACACAAGCAACAAGCTGAAACTACTGAGCGGCAGCCAGTGGAAATATCCAACACAAACAGACAGGTAAGAGTAACAGGCACATAGTGGAATAAGGAAAAATGAACAGCATCACTTAGTAAGAAAAGAAAGACGACAGCTTTGGTTTTTTATTTTAGCTTCAGTTTTCTCCCCTTAACAACATTTAGTATTACCCAACACCCCCTGGGATGTGCTTATTTTCCCCACTTTCTTATTTTGTTCCTACCTTTTCATATTCCTTTCCTGAACACTAATCCAACCTTTCATCATCAGTCTGTGCTCTTACACTTCTCCTACATTTGGAACTCACAATATTAACCCTACATATAAGCCTGATCCCAGCCTCATTTGTTTAGTATTGTCCTAAAATAGTCACACTAGAAAATATATTCTGATTTTTAATTTTTTTTCTTAAAACAGATCCTGGTCAATCAAGTAACTTAAAAGTACCCACTTTCCAAATAAAGACTGGTATGCTACTGTATTTTTTTTAATTGGGTTAAAACAAAAACAAAGCACTAAATGTTCCACTGAACGACAACCAACAATGCACCAAAGAAGTACAGCCAGACCAGGATTTCATGTCTCATTCTTGATTACTGAGTGTTATATAACAAACCTGGCATGCTCTCTCTCTTTATCCATCTATAATATATGGAATGATGATATTTACTCAGTTTTATTTTTAAAAAGTCCATTTTATAAATGAAAAACATCAGTATGACTATTTAATCTGTAACAGATACATTATATTAGAAAACAAATTTAAAAAATAATAGAATCTGAAGCTGCACACAATCAGGCCTCCTGAAAATGTACAAAAACAAAAATAAATTCAGCAGAAAATCAGGAAGGATGCACAAGTCTATACCATCATCTCCAAAATAATATGTGTATGCTTCCTTACATATCTTAACACTTAGCCAAAAAGAACAGTACGATCAAACCCAAACTTATACTATCAGAAAATAAACAGTAAGCTATGTATCACTCTTTTAAAGAGATGGCCACACCTGGCTGTCAAATAATAATTTCCAGAACACGTACTATATGACTTCAGTGGCACTGAGGCAGAGCACAGTATCTCAGCATATGACAGCTATATTCAACTCCATTTGATCTCTAAATTCAGGTGTCCGTGTGGTTGGCACTATACATTATTGTTCTTCTCTAAAAGCAGAACTAGTCAGTTTGTTTTGTAGTGGTCAGTTGATTTCTCACAGTTGGGATAAGGCTAAACACACTTGAATTCTCGTGCTTTTTAATCCAGAGGGAAAGCTGCTACTTTCATTTTCTTCAGCTAACAAAATGGAAAAGTTCAGACTCCAGCTACAACAGCTCTTTGGGCTACTACACAGCATAAATGTCCTTAGAATGAAGCAACCTGAAGGATATTTCTCAAGTACAGTAGCCAGAAACTATTCAAGAACAACGGTGTCAGGACAACCAGAGCTCCCCTGCAATTAAGTGTTTTTCTCTTAACAAAAAGTTTTACTTTACTTCAAACTTTTCACTGTGCCTGCAACTCAACTCGTCTATGAATACTATAATGGCATTTACAGGTTGTTGTGCCAGTTTCAAGTGGTATTCCTGAGAAGTCAGGTATGTCTTAAGCCTGCTTCATGACAAACTAATACTGTAGTCCTCTGAACACAATAGCAGCAATAGTTAAGTTTAAGAGGGACAGTATGGACAAGCTGCATCTAAGCCACAATACCCAGTTCTATCATCAGTGAATAGTGACTCCTGACTCCCAGAATGGTGGCTACCAGAGACAAAAATAATTAGCCAAGCAAAAGAGTTTTACCTTTTAGTGATATCTGAAACATATACTACCTGGTAATGAACTTATTTCAGATGGGCTCTGAAGGCAATGCAATAGAAACACCTTAGTTTTAAAACTTCCTTTACATGGGTATAACCTGGTTGTTCTTCCAGGAACAGAACTTAACCAAAGATTTTTAAAAGTCACATGGATTTTCCTCCATATGTTTATAACACTTAAAAGTCACCTCGTTAAAGATACCTTCTTTGCAGTAAAAAAAAAAATAATTAAAAAAATCCACTATGTCAACAAATAGAACTCCTGTTCTGAATGCGACCTCCAGACAGAATTCCTTCCCACCCATTCTTTATAGGACTTGTAGTATTAGCTAAATGACATCTCTCTGGTTAAAAACCAAAATATATGCAAGATGGTTATTAAAATTCCCTTTTCTTTCTTCTTCTGCTGGTTGCAAAATACTCTATTTGGATAAAGCCCATTACTATTTTCAACTGAGCAAACTGCAGTAAAGGAACCAGCAATGCTGAGTATTGGGTACCTGTGATCACATAACCAACTGAGCAAGAACAGGCAAGCTCCTACACCAACTTCTGAAGGTCAGATTCTTGATACTAAATACAAATACAAACTTGCAATTCCATTATCCAGATTTAAAAGTCAATTACACAGGACTGCTTTCAAATTTAGCCCTTCAAAAGTGAAGACCATGCAACTGACCACGTTTACTGCATGACACTTCTTAGTTCAAAAATATAGGCAAGTACTTTATTTTTACAGTCTTATTTACAGACTAAAATTCCAAGGTCCTGCAAATAGTTCTCACCCAATTATTTTTGAGCATTACCGTCTAAGATGTCCAGATAACCTAATTCAGATGGAAACCATTAATATTGGCTTTCTTGAAATCCTTGATGCTGTTGTCAAATAAATGCCATTTAAAGAAGTTCTTTTAACTCTTTTTGAGAAGCATCTTTCCAAGTCAAGTAATACTGTGCTTTATGCTCCTAAATGGGAGAGCTTCTTCAGAGAGCTATGTTGACTTCAGATAAATTATTTTTTTTAAAAGCTACGAAAAGTCAGTATTTACAACTGAAGGAAAACCAGCCAAAGTTACTAGAAAAAAATGTCATTGACTTATTAAAAAAATGCTGTATAATCAGTTGATAACCTTTAGAAACAGTAGACTGAATTTTAAACTTAAGCCTACTGTAGATAAAAGCAATAGGAGTTTATAATCTCTTTCAGAAAATATAGCAATTAGCTGCTACAGCATTCCTCAAGAATACAAGAGTCTTCCAGTGAAGTTACTCATCGTTTTTTCCAGGAACCATCAAGTCACCCTGCCCTTTGTCTGCAGCTCTAAAGCCTCAGACCGATCTAGCCAGCCATCTTTATTTGGATGGATTTCATCTTGGTCACTGCCGCCACAAAAACCACTTGTGTGCCATCCGACATGACGTTATTTAATAAAAAGATGCCAGTTAAATAGAAACACTGGAACACACGGTTAAGTGGAGTTACATAACACTTTGCACTGAAAAGTGGTCTTAAGAATACCTTAGATACCTTTGGCTAACACCACCACAGCCTCGTCTTTATAAAAATGCTAAGTATCGTTGGCAGACACGAAACTAGATTAGAAGCCAGAGTGTCTAGTTCCACTTAGGATTTTGTTCACAATTTCTGTTCTGTATACCCTTAGTTTCCCCATCTTTAAATCAGGAACCTGTCTAAACACTGAGAATGTGCTGTATGACTTCTAATGAAACAGTTGCATTTCTGTCTTCCTGACAATCCCACTGTCACAGATGAGCACGTGAGATGCTACACTTCTTGAAGAGATGAATAACAGGACTGTCAAATACTTGTAATGAACTTTAAAGATGACTGGGTACATTTTGAGGGATCGTTATCACCAACATGAAAATTCCTTCTATGCAGGTAATATGCTGAAACACTTGGTATGACCAGGCAATTCCACTGCTGCTCAAACCTTTTATTTGCAGAGAATCTTTGATGTAGCTCTGCAGGTTTGTCAAATTAGAAGCATGATGAAGGCAATTTGCTTGGTCTGTTGTGCAGAAAGTATAAATGGAAGGAATGAATTGATTGTGCACAGCATGCCAAATGGTTAAATGAAGCATTTAGGCTTAGCATTAAAAGCAGCAGCACTGTTAGAAACAATTTGCAGGGAAGAAATTGGCAGATGCAGAAATAACTGTGTGGGTTCATTCTGCTTCTAACCAAGATTACAAAGTACAGTTTAGGAAAAAAAAAAAAAGGGGGCAGGGGCAAAAGAGAACCCCAATGCCAAAATCCGCCCAAAACCAAAACCCAAAACCAAAAAAAACCCAAAACACCTATAACTAGGTAGCCAGAATGATGGATATTTATATATGCATTTTACCAGTGTATATATAGAAAAGGTATTTATCTTACTAAAGACTTGCTTATTTTTTTTTTTGTTAAGAGAGAATGTTAGCATATGCATTACTCACCTTAGAGAGTATTTTGAGTGCTTGATGTAGAAAGGCTCTCCGGGATTTAAAAATTTCAGCTGCAATTTAAGACAAAATGCTTAAAAGCATACCATATCTAAGACTATCTTGTTCAATTTATGACATGCTCAAGATAAATCAGGTCACTTACAAATACAGCTTTACATAGACCCAGGCTTTAAAAATACAGAATACCCAGATTTGTGCAGAGTAAGAAAAACTCCCATCTCAGTATTTTAATGAAGTTAAAAACTAAAACAAATAAATTGGGAAACTAACAAATGTATGCAAACTATAATCTATTATTTTTTTCAATTGCAAATACATTACAAATACACTCAGTGATTCAGTCAGACAAAAGAAAAGAGAAAAATTACAGGAGAGCAAAAAACTCTTAAAATATAATATTAACTCTTGAAACTAACAAACTAAGACTTGTACTATTGCAATCTTCTGTCAAGAGTAAAAAAATAGCGCAGTTGAACTGTTGGAAGAATTTATGAAAATCTATTTAAAATAAAGCCTGTCAGACTTACCAAGTGTGTCATAAAGGAATTATTCCTCAAGTTGACCTTTAATGTGCATGATTCCCCAACTCTAGTTGGAGGAAAAGTGTATAGGTCTTCTGGCGCATATATCCCTCGAATTATCTCATTTTGTCTGATTTGAAAAAGAGATTGAAGAGATTAAGATTTCCTGCTTATACGGTCTGGATTGCATACGTCAAAATAACAGATGTATCTTCTGAGACTAAATCAGGAAAAATTGAAAGATGTTGAAGACATCAACACTTGCACCTTAAATTTAATAGGCAATATCTTTTAGCCAGAAAGAGTAACGAAAGCATCATTATGGCATAAGTATATATACATTTACTTCTACATGCTTTCGCAATCTGAATTTTTCCCCTACATGCTTTACTGGAGAACTAGACTCTTCTCTGAGATGCCATGTTTAACCAAAACATTTTGCTCCCCTGCCACATTCCCATCACCTCATAGTAAAAGAACTGGAAATGAACTTCAGACTGAAGAACAGCAAAGTTAGGACACGCAGTACAGCAGTCTTCTCAGAAGTAACTTTACAGTTCGATGGAGTCTCCAAAAGAGGAGTGTACAAAAAGCATACACAAGATTCTATAGCTGATACCAGCTCATTTACAACAGCAATTCATTGTTAGGCAACTTTAAAACCCAAGTGAAAAGAAAAAGCATGACAGACTGAATAATACAAAGGCATTAAGAGGTTTGGAAAGTCTGGGTTTTGCAGCAATTTACTCTTTAACATAGAATCATAGGATAATTCAGGTCAGAAGAGACTAGGAGGTCTCTAGTTCAACCTTTTGCCCCAGTTCGGGTCAGCCGTGAACTCAGACCAGGCTGCTCAGGGCTTTGTCCAGTCAGATCCCTAAAACCTTCAAGGACAGAGACTGCGCAGCCTCTCTGCACAGTCTGTTCCACCACATAGCTGTCCTAAAGGTAAAACAGTTTTGATAGTGGGGTTGGTTTGTTGGTTTTTTTAATCCCCTTTTACCCAGTTGCAGATTCTCTTCTTTCGAGTTCTGTTCATACATACCCTCCTTTAATCGTATGTGCATCAGGGTAAACCGCCATTTCTGGTTCAACTGGAAGCTCAGTTTTTGTGAGGGCACTTGGAAAAGCTTTCACAACTGAAGTGTCATTTTCTGGTTTAGAACCCTATTGGCAAAAATAGAGAAGTCTTTCAATTTTGCATTCAGAAGTACTTAAGTATTCAAGTATGCAAGTCATTTCCCTTACCCAATCCAAGACTTTTTATTTAAAGCATAATCTTTCAGGAACAGTAGCCTGGATCAGTGAGACAGAAGCAATGACTTAGGAGTAGTACTTCAACAGGCTTCTGTGCCTTAGGAATACTTTATTCGTTACAAGCCAGTTCACAACAAACCAGCAGTGCAGGTGGAATCTCGAGAAGGCTGCTAGCAACTAAGATTTTACTAAAAGCCAAAACAAAAACCAACTCCTCTGCAGCTATTCTGCCCATATGCCTCAAGAACTGCAAAGCTGGCTAAACAACTGCTCAGAAAGAAAGCAAGCATAAATCATCATTATAGTTTAATTCTCACAACAGCATAAAGCTTTATAATATTTGTCTTGTGAACAATCCATCCTTCTCAAAGAAAGGTTTCTCTAGAGAAACAGAATCTGATAATGCATTGTATGACAATTACATTCAGAAATTAGGCCAAAATATTTACCATCGACAGGACCTCCATTCACTGGACCTTAACACAAGGAGACCAGAGCACCCTGAAGGAATACTTCACCTAATAGCCGGTTTCAAATTCTGTGGTGTTTAATAAATCTAGCCAGATACTGTTTGGAGCCCCTTGGGTCACAACACCTTGAACAAAGTCAAAGAATCAAAAGAACCTCCTCCTCTTAGAGTCGTACAACATTATCTCAATTCTTGAAATGGTGCTGACGTTTTAGACAAGCAGTTGATTCTCTTACGCAGGGAAGATTAAAAAAATAGATCCATCGTTAACAGAGCTGCTATGACAAACTTGTCTTTTAGACATTTCTTCTATTGGAAGAGCTGCTAATCAGTTTGTCAGAAATAGCAGCAGGCAAAAAAAATTTCTTCATTTTAAAGAATATTTTGCAGTTGCAAATAACCCACGAACCACAGTAGAACCCAGTACATAAAGACAAGAAAGGATGTCTATGTGTGTCTCATTCCAAGAGTTTTTCATTTTCCATGTGGTGACAAATTATGGGTGTCATGCCTCAGTGTTATCATGCAAACTCTACCTTATCAATAAGGCAAGTTTACTGCACAATAATAAGGCACATTATGGAAAATGATCAGAAGTTCCTCCAGTCTTTATAAGGGCATCTTGAAGTATTGCATGCTTTACTATAGCCCGTACTGACTTTTCCTGTTTCAAATAAAAATGATATGTTAACACTGTACAAATGGTTACAATTGAGTGCTGTTGTTCCAAAGCAACCTCAGGAGCATAGAAATGTGTTTAAATGGAATTATTTTGCTTAGAGAGCTTAGATTTTTCCTTCTCTCACTTTTGGAATGCCCAAAGATGATGAAGCTTTGCACTGCTGATAATAATAATCAAATCAGGACTCTTAGTTAGCAGTATTTTTTGTGTTAAGAAATTCAGCTCAGCTTGTTGCTAAATGAAACACTAAAAAGCTACATAGTTAAGCAGCTAAAGTACATAAACTACGTAAATTAAAAAGTTGTATTCACTATTTGCAATATCTGTAAAAAACTGCAGGGATTCTTTATGCAGTCCTCAACTTTCTACATGCTAAAGGAGCAATCACAACTTAGGTGCTGCCTCAGCCTTCCAGCAGGTTCTTGCTACTTCCTCGTTTCACCCAGAAGGGACCAATAATTAGACCAAAACACCAACCCAAGACTTTCGTGCACAATGATGATGCTCTTTTTTAGCTCAATGATCTTAGAACAGCACCTGACAGCAGCCTAACAAATATTTTGCAGGAAGAGAAATAACTAAGTTTGAATGGCCAGTACTGAGAGGTTGGGGTTGCAAAGCACACACAGAATCCCTCCTTTATTTGTCTGTGCAATCAGAGACATGATCTTCTGAGCTCCTGACTATGGTTTCCAGTGGTGGGGACTGCAAATGCAGAGGATAATCGAAGTCATAGCTAATTGGATTTCGGCAGGGAGGAGGGGGAAGAAAAGATAAAAGCCATTGATTTTCCTAACTTCACCTTGTCCTCTTAGTTCTTCCCTGAGCTTTTCCAGACTTTTAATTTCTTTTGAAGTGGTGCTATAAATAAATACTACTCAGTCACTCTGAATGACAGTCAATCTTCCTACTTCATTCTATCAAAAGTCACATTAACCAGAGCCATAGCCCTCTGCCTCAGCAAACCCAGCAGGATCCAAGTCCTTTTCAAAGTTGTAATAACACAGAGGAAACTCTTGACTTCTTGGCTAAAGCAGATCTGATTATGCTGCTACTGCCTAAGCAAAGGTTCCATGCTGACCCCTCTTCCAAACCAACGTATAGTTCCTTACCTAGTTGATAAACCAAGTATTTCCCTTTCAAATCTTTTTCAAAATGATCATGACACACTTCAAGTATTTTCTACCTTTTTTTTTTCCCATATGCGCAAATTGATGCTGGAAAGATCTAATTGTTAACAGCTTTGAAAACAAACAAAAAACCCACAAGAGGAACAAATCTGACACAGTAGTTCAAAACCGGTAACATCAAGTTATGCTGCTCAAAGATTTACACAACTCTGACAAGTAGTCACATTATAAGAAGAGAATTCTTCATAACTCTAGATTTCTGATAAAGAATTCATCCTCTCTCAGTTTCAAGTAGCTTTAAACAGACAAATGACAAACATTTTCTTCATTTTAAGGAAAATTATATAGCTAGAAGAAAGCTGAATAAAAACCCCTCCCAAACCAAACATCACACAGGTCCCGTTCTTCATGACGAAAAATTAGAAGTCATTTAACATATTCTTTTTCAACAAGCCCCCTTTTCAACACAATTAACTAACGCAGAGAACAAGGACCCTACAAAATAAGAGGTAAGGCACCCTGGCAAGAAGGGTAAGTAAGGTTCCTACTACTGAAATAGGCTTGGTACTCTAAAGAAAGATTCCAAATCTTTAATCTGAGCTTCTTACAAAAATCAAATCAAACTCTGGAGAGGACAGCAAAGCATATAGAGCAATCATGCAATACTGAACGTACAACGCTCTTCATATTCAGCTTATTTAACTAATCATTAGAATTAATTCTTCTTAATAGTAATAGAATCTGTCCAACATGGACTTCTCTTGTATGGATGGTGAGGTAGGGATTAAATGCAAGGTAAGGAGCAAGAGCACAGAGAAACAGTTCAAACTCCCAAACACCTCCTTTCATGCCTCACCATAAAGTTAGGGCTGACGAACAACAGGGGAGAGCTCAAATTCAATCACTCCCATGTACAAATCTCGAAAGTCATCCCCACCTATGTTGTTACTCTGATAAAATACTCTGAAAGATTCTATCAGCGACACATCCACATCTCCAATATGGATGTTCAAAAATTCCAATATTGCTATAAGTTGTATATTATAGCAAAGGTCAGTTACTTTGTTATTTATTTACAAAAATAGAACCAATCCACTGGTGTCTGATACAAACAGATTTTCAACTACAGAACCAATTCCTACAGAAGACAAGTTTGTCTCTACTTTCTCTAAGCAAATTAAAATTTTATGTCTTAAATAGCAAAAGATAATTCATTATCACAGAAGATGGAAAAGGTATTTTTGTAGCATAAGAAAAACAGTATGGTTTAGTCAGACAAAAATATCAGCAGGGTTGGTTTGGTTTTTTTTGGAATACGCCAGTGCATGTGAGAAGGAGTACTGCAGATAAAAAATTGTATTATTATACATTTATAAAAAAATTGTGCTCAGGACAGCATTTATATACTTACTGTTCCAGAAAGCTGAAATCTTAATTTGTGTTTCCAACTTGGTTTTTCAACTGGGTGACACTCAAGGTCCCAGAACTGTGAGAAATCTCCTTTGTCTCTAGGTAAAAATATTACAGCAACCTACCAAAACAAGAAAAAAAATGTTGCAGAATCTTACTGAAATAATCTATGCATCTTCACAATTTTCCC